GCATTAATATTCACATTGATAAAATGTAAATTGTGTTCTTTGTCCGTAGCTTATGCCTGCCCATACCATAACCCCACCACCACTATGGGGCACTCTGTTCACAACATTGACATCAGCAAACCACTCGCCCACACAACGTCATACACGCTGTCTGACATCTACCCGGTACAGTTGAAACCGGGATTCATGCGTGAACAGCACACTTTTCCAGCGTGCCAGTGCCCATAGAAGGTGAGCAATTGCACACTGAAGTAGGTTACGACGCCAAACTGCAGTCAGGTCAAGACCCTGGTGAGGACAACGAGCACGCAAATGAGCTTCCCTGAGACGGTTTCTGACAGTTTTTAGCAGAAATACTTCGGTTGTGCAAACCCACAGTTTAATCAGCTGTCCGGATGTCTGGTCTCAGACGATCCAGCAGGTGAAGAAGCCAGATGTGGGCTGGTGTGGTTAGACATGGTCTGCGGTTGTGAGGCCAGTTGGACTTACTGCCAAATTCTCTAAAACAGCAGCTTTTTTAATTAACATTAAATTATCTGGCAACATCTTTGGTGGACATTCCTGCAGTCAGCATGCCAATTGCACGCTCCCTTAAAACTTGAGACATTTGTGGCATTCTGTTGTGAGACAAAACTGCACATTTTAGAGTGGCCTTTTATTGTCCGCAGCACAAGGTGCACCTGTGTAATGATCATGCTGTTTAATCAGCTTCTTGATATGCCACATCTGTCATGTGGATGGATTATCTTGGCAAAGGAAAAATGCTAACAGGGATGTAAACACATTTGTGCACAACATGAGAGAAATAAGCTTTTTGTGCGTATGGAAAATATCTAGGATCTTTTATTTCAGCTCATGAAACATGGGACCAACACTTTACAATTTAGGGGAGAGTGGGAAAGAGGGGAGGGAGGGGAGAATGCTTAGCTTATAAACTTCACAGAGAGGGTGAAAATGGGCCTGGGCTAGTTTGATCTCGTTTTGATGGTCACTGGGCTAGCAGCACTATACAGTCTACACAACAGCACAATCAAGGGCTTTTCACCATACTGAGCTAAACAGACCTTAGCCAAACTAAGCTGTACTGAGCTGGCCTGGTTACGCATCCACCATACCCTAGTCACTGTAACCTGCTGCAAAAGACATTGTGAAAAGAAAATATCCAAGCCAGTACAGTTTGGCTTGGATTCGGCTCTTTCAGCCACACCCGAATAATGGTCTGGGGCTGTTTTTCATGGTTCGGGCTAGGCCCTTTAGTTCCAGTGAAGGGAAATCTTAACGCTACAGCATACAATGACATTCTACACGACTCTGTGCTTCCAACTTCGTAGCAATCGTTTGGGAAAGGCCCTTTTCTGTTTCAGCATGACAATACCCCTGTGCACAAAGTGAGGTCCATACAGAAATGGTTTGTCGAGATCGGTGTGGAAGAACTTAACTGGCCTGCACAAAGCCATGACCTCAACCCCATCAAACACCTTTGGGATGAATTGGAACGCCGACCGCGAGCCAGGCCTAATCGCCCAACATCAGTGCCCGACCTCACTAATGCTTGTGGCTGAATAGAAGCAAGTCCCCGCAGCAATGTTCCAACATCTAGTGGAAAGCCTTCCCAGAAGAGTGGAGGCTGTTATGGCAGCAAAAGGGGGGGACCAACTACATATTAATGCCCATGATTTTGAAATGAGATGTTCAACGAGCATGTGTACACATACTTTTGGTCATGTAGTGTTTTATGAAAAAGACATGAACATCAGCCAAACTCTGACCTAGAAAGGGCGGAACAAAGAGAGAGAAAGGAAAGGAGTGGAAACAAGAAGTGAGTTGAAGCGAGAATAGAAGTAAAATAAAGCGAAAGAAAGTAGGACAGATAGACCTCCAGTGTCAACACGTACTGTAGCACAGGCGTCACTGCGCTAATTTAACAGAGAACGCACGCACACGCCACAATAATTAAAGAAAACAGACCCTAGACAAATAGAACACTATAAAAATACATATCACTCCGCTGCACAATAGAGAAAGAATAACATGACACACCAAACAACAGCGTGGCAATGGTTTCTCTCACAAAAAGAATCCAATTATTTAACATCTTATTTCCTTCCCTCCCTCTTCCATCCAAACCTGCATGGTGGCTGCTTTCTTTGCACAGTCTTTTAGAGTAGAAAGAAAGAGATGGAGTGAGAAAAAGGACACGTTACTGTGCCCAGACCTGTTGAGCTGATGAGGCATAAGCACAGTGCTGCTACATAATATCTATCTAATGTTTATGGTAAATAGCATAGAGCTACAGAGTGGGACCCGTCCACTTTTTACATCAGGTCTGGGATGAGAAGATATCATGAGTTCTAGAATACAAAATGGATGGGAATGTAGATGTGCTATACAGTAGTTAATGATGTGAATTAGGCAAGAAACCAGCAAGAAACTTAGTCCTGAAAAGCATTACAGGCTAATAGCCATTTGGACAACATGCAATGCTCAAACAATCCACACCGTCACACACATCATAAACATACCCCCCAAAAAGCCTTTGACTGGCTACCTATACGTTTCTCAAACCCACTCACTGTCACTCTTAATCCGAGCAGAGAGATGCACATCTAAGTGACACATAGAATGTGGGGTCCCACACATACACACACGGCTAGAAAGAGTGAAAAACAACGAAAGAATAGGACAAGCTGAGTCCTGCGAGTCGCACTACTAAGCTGAGCATGTTGCTACCTGCCACTGAATACCTTGAGGTTTACACAGAGATGGAAGGGGAGGAAAACACACACGGATGCACACACACACACAGCGGAGGACAGAGGAGAGGGAAGGACTGAAAAAAGAGAGAAAAGACTGGACTGCTCATTCTAGAGATACAGTGAGGGTAAAAAGTATTTGATCCCCTGCTGATTCCGTACGCCCGCCCACCGACAAAGAAACGATCAGTCCACAATTCCAATGGTAGGTTCACCTGCACAGCGAGAGACAGAATAACAACAACAAAATCCAGAAAACGGATGTCAAAAATGTTATAAATTGATTCGCACTCAGCATCTCTCCATTTCATAGCATATACAACATTTGCTTATCGGTCTGTGCCTATAAGCAAACGAAGGTGGTATGCACATCTTTCAGATAACCAGTGCGAGACAAAATAGTATTTTGTAAGAAAATAAAGTTTTTATTTTCAATTCATTGTAGATGTTATGTGTGGGTGCAAGTCCATTCAATCGTGTTGTGTGTGTTGATCAGGGATGTCCTGAACAAGGACTGGTACCTGTCTGGGGTGAACCTGGACCAGAGTGACTAACGGAACACGTCACCCTCACTAGGAGAGGGGGTGACCTTGACAATTTATTGTTAAAACGTGAGGCTGCCTGGATCTTTAATTTAAAGACCGTTGCTCCCTTTGGTCTCAACTTAGACTTTCATCTGAAGCCATTCTTGTGATTTTGCTATTCATTGTAAATGTTTGTAGGCCTATGTAGCCAAATTGTATCTATGATCGTATGCTAACCATTCATGTTTTTTATATGTTCTATTTATGTCTGTAAATTAATAACCAATGTTATCAAGCCACACCCGGCCATGATTACAGACACCTGTGTGTGTCCTTTGACACTATATAAACTAGTGACCCGCAGTGTTTGTCATTATACCCTAATGAAGACTGCGTGTCTGTCGTAATGTTGGTTATTGGGTTTAAAATGTATGCATCCAAGCTCCTAGAGTGTGCGGCTCTCCTTTTCACGTGTTCTACACCGCGAGCCAGCACCTCGCCTAACCAGGTGTGCGTTTCTTTCGCTTCCAGATTAACCTGGACCAGAGTGACTAACGGCAGTACGCCGCTGCAGTCAAGCTAAGGGAGAGGAGCATGGTGTCCAGGCTGCTGGAGTTCGGAGCCACCCCGCTGGTACCTCCAACACATCCGTAAATAGAAGGGTTTGGCTGTTATTACGGCAGTAACAGCTCAATGACAACCATTTAGCCAATTTGAAGGTGTTCAGTCCCAGTTTGTAACCCTTTCCTAAGCAACTGTTTTACTTTCCCCAAAACCCTATTTGAACCCTTCTTCAGGAGCGTCACATCAGGCGTTGGACAGGGTCACAGATTATCCATTATGTTGATCAGATACTCAAGTGGCCGCTCTAACAAGGGAAAGAAATGTCTTCAAAAATGTTGGGCAGTCGGGAGGAAAATCAGGTAGGACCATTCTAGCTAATGAGAGGGCAGATACATGGGAACAGGCACAACTCCGGTAGTGTTTATCAAATGTCCTACCAGATGTCAAGTGTCCTACTTATCAATACACTTGTAACCTAAGCATTACAAAACGTATATTCGCGCAAATAAGCCATGACATTTTTTTGTTGACCAAATTCAACACCGACCTCCATACAAAAACACCACTTGGTGAGCGAAAAACTCCACCTGCTGGAGAAGACCGATTATGGGCCCAGTTATCCCGCTCGAGTCGCCTCTTCTCTGACAAGGCCCGTACAAACAACCTGCCCAGCATCCTGAAACGTCCACCCACTTTTCTCCAACAAAACAGTCCTACCTGCTGCTCCTGGCCAATAGGATCAACATCTGACCACTTCCTATGCCCGCCCCCGCCACTGCCACTCAACTCCCCACATCAAATTCAATATTTAGATTTTTATTTATTTTTAAGTACCCACCATGAAATTCACCCTTTTTAATCCAGCCAACAATTGTAGCCATTACAGTTCAACATGTATGTTCTGTACATTGTTTGTCATACTTTCAGCAAATGGTGTTATTGTTAAATGTTTTACCCATTAAAGAATGTACAGGCAACCCCCTAAATGCATCCCCCACCCACCTACACACTTTACTATTAATAAATGACTTGAGTAAAATAATAACTTGTACAACTGGATTGGTCATAGCGGAAAGTAGTCCTTGCAGGAAAGAGAAGGGACGGTGTACAGGTGACATTTTCTGCATTCTGTAGTCCTTGTCTGACGTTTGTGGTCTAGTTAGTAGACGTAGTTAGCTGTGTGCAGGGACTGCATGGAGGCCTGGTCAGCGCCGCTGACCGCTGTGTACTCTCCCTTGGAGGCCAGACCATTGCTCTGAAATGTACATTTGTGATTCAGTAAACAATGTATTTGGTTCCAGAATGAAGCTTTGAGAGAGAAAGGAGACCACAGATGGGACACTACTTCAGGATACAAGAGAACTCCACCATTCAATAGCTTCCCAATGATATCCATGTAGCATGTACCTCTAAGCAAGGTGTCCACTCTACCCTAAAATAGTGTAGCACCTCCATCTTACCTTGGCTCTGGAGGTGAAGGCATCCTGTGCCGCCTTCTTGTTGGCAGCCTTGCCTTTCCAGGCGGCGAGGGCAGAGGCCTGGAGTGCGCGGCCGTAGGAGAAAGAGAGCTTCCAGGGCCGGTGCAGGGCCGTCTGGTTCATGGCGTTCAGGTTCTGAGTGGCCTCCTCCTCGCTCTGGCCTCCAGAGAGGAAGGTGATGCCTAAGGGGGGTAGAATATTTAGCAATTTGGTGATGGGGTTCATTTTGGCATCACCGATCAACCAAATTATACGGTTTTTACTCCTTCAAGTCTACCTTTACACCTAACCCCACCTTTCTGAGACATTCATTGTGTTGATCACATCCCCACCATCTACATTACCATCACCACCTCTACAAACCCCCAACCCAGTCTCACCGGGCACGGCGGCAGGGACGGTGCGCCTCAGGGCGGTGACGGTGGCCATGCCGACCTCCTGGGGGGTGAACTTCTTGGAGCAGGAGTGTCCGGCGGTGACCATGTTAGGCTTCAGCAGGGTGCCCTCCAGGTAGACATGGTGGTCGTTCAGGGCCTTGTACGTGGCAGCCAGGACCTGGTGAGGGCGAGTTGGGTTTAAAAAGGCGTTTGGTTCAAGTTCATTGATGTGAAATTAAATTGGAGCGTGACTAAGAGGAGATTGAGGTATGCGTTTGTAATTCCATGCTGGTAAACCAGCCAGCACTGGCTTTGTGGAAGACAGAAAACAAGGACTGAGAAATGTGATTCACATAAGTGTTTAACTGAAGGCCAACAGAGTATTTGAGAGGATAACAATGTTATGATCTCACCTTCTCAGTGACATACTGAGTGCGTAGGAGGTCATGGTCTCCGTCAGGTAGAATCTCTGGCTCCACAATGGGTACCAGGCCATTCTGAGGAGAGGAATCACATGGACACACTTAACAGCATGTGGACAAACCTTGCCATTGAGGGATTTCTCAGATCATGTGTTAGTTGTGTGTGTAAAGTCCAGTAGCGTATACAGTAGCAGTACTGTGTGTCTAAGATAAGTTCCTCCTCTGGGACATTACATTTGATCCTACCCTAAGCACTATAGTTTTAGAAGGGAGAAGTTCTCATGGCATGCACACACACACACCTGTTGGCAGATACTGGCATATCTGGCGAGGACGTTAGCATTCTCTGCGATGGCGAGGGCTGAGGGGCAGGCGTCTGAGATCTTGAGCACACACCTCCACTTGGCGAAGTCACAACCGTCCTTCTTGTACTGAGCACAACGCTCCGAGAGTCCATCAAGACCTGATGAGAGGTTTTTAATATTACATTGTTCATAGTCATCCAGCTCATTTTACTGTTGTCATACGTCTTACAAGTCATCATGTCAAACTGACTAAATGTGGGCTAGGGAGATTGAAGAACCTGGTTGATTTAAACGTATAGCTTTAAAACACATTTGTTACTTAGAGTTGCAAAATAACTTAAGAGTTATTCTTACCCTGTGTGGTCATCTCTCCATCTGTTCCATTCAGACCAGCTGTGCCTTTGTCCACCTAGAAAACAAACTGTCAAACTAACCACTTTCCTAGGGTTGGGCAGTATCCAGATTTATAGTCATACCGATTTTGTACCATACAGAGGTATGTATTACTGAAAGGAATCACAAGGGGCGCCATTTTATTTTTTTTATTGGGGGGGGGGGGGGGGGGGGGGGAATCTTGAGCAAGGAGGGGATTGAACGTCTCTGCTGTAACCAAGAAGCTTGATCTTAACATTTAGCAAACAAATGCATAGCTGGAGCCCTGAGCTGGATACAATTCATTTGACACATCTTAGATTTCTTATAGTTATACTTAACTTAGTAATAAGCAGTGTCATAGCACACTCGCGGGGGTGCCCCCAACCCAACGGTATTGAAAATCATACCGTCGGTATTTCAAAATACCCCGGTATAAACAGTATAGCGCCCAAGCCTACCCTTTCCCAGTAATGTTTGATTGTTATAGTGCCATTATATTACATCACACACACAATCTTGATAAGTGAAACCAGTAGGTACTCCAGTATTGAGTTGTTGTCTGGGTGGACGTATGGTCATAATTGCCTTCACCTAACCAATCTTATCAGTAGACTATTGGAAAGAGAGTGGCCGTGTCCGAATACCCATACTAGCCTACTACATACTTAAACTGCATACTAATTTCGGCGTTTGATCTAGTACAATTAACTCGTCTTTTCTGACACACGTGTTTGACAAACGCTGATAATCAGATAAAATGAACAAATGGCAGGAGTCAATGCAATCACGCATTGAGTACTATTTTTGAAATGACAATTTTTTTGCATACTATTTAGTACACTAGTATGGGTATTTGGAGACATTGTAATTCTCATGAATGAGGGACGTGGCCTCAAGTCCTTTCGGAACTTTTGAAAATAGATATTTCCTCCCTCCCCTGTTGCTTTCACCAATCAAACCTTCCCTGATCAAGGATGGAAGGATGGTATTCAAAAAGGGACCTCTGACATTGCTGGTCCTCTCACCTTGATGCCGACCACGATGCCCTTGTCCTTGATGACCTGGGGGAAGAGGACGCCCTTGTCAGACTTCTGGTACAGCGTCTCGTGAAAAAAGATGATTCCACCAATGCAGTTGGGGTCAACTGCAGAGAACAGGAGGTCGCGGAAAGTCCGACGGTTCTCCTCTGTGTTCTCCACGTTGATCTTCTGCAGGCGGTTACTCATAGTGCCTGGACGGAGAAATGATGGGCAGGAAAGAACATTAGTGGCATTTCAGGGGGGAGAAAAATATCTAAGTATGACAGATTCCTACAACTTCTCAACGTAAGGCTACCTCTAACTCATCCTTCAGATGCCTAACCCATACAGGCCACCACTACTTGCTGAGAAAATGCAACAGCCATTTCCCATGTCGCCAACACCCTCTCCACCCCACTCATCCAGTCCTCCATGGCCAGTTTGGCCTACTCACCTGTGGACTCGTCTGCTGCCAGGATGCCCTTCCCTGGAGCCACGATCCTCTGGGCTATGTCGGAGAGCTCCTTCTTCTGCGCCGGAGAGAGGGATGGGAACTGGGTAGTCATCCTGTGGAGGTGAGAAAAGTCTGTTAAAACAGAACAAAAAGGAATTCAATCCAGTAACCTAAATCCATTTATGTAGGCTAGTTTGTTCAAGTGTGGCTTATTCTCAGACACTGACAGTATCCACCACCACTGTACTGGACCTTCACTCTCAGCAACTCTGTCAATATTTGGCTTGTAGTTTGAACTTTAGTCTGAAAGCAGGGGTGTATTAATTATGCATATTCTGTTGCAAAACGTTTTGCAACAGAAACCGTTTACTCCCAAGATGTAGAGTACCATTTTGTTATTAAAATGGAACTTGTAGTTCAGTTTTGTCTATTAAAAAAACAAAGTGGCTGGATGAAGTTTGAAGGAACCGAGGACTTCACTCCACTTTAGAGCATAGAAAAATCGATAATTTATAGACGTGTAGCTTGTGCCAAACACGTCGCCGACTTTTCGGATTGGAATGGCAACTTGTGTAAAACATAACATTAAAATGAACTACAACTTTGTTTAATAGTGTTGTGCGATTAACCGATATTTCATTTGTTTCTGTTTATTAAACTAATTGACCGAGGTCTGTTCAATTACTTGAATTCAATTTAGTTCATATTTTTGTGAGCCCAGCGTGCTGTTTCTCTACAGAGAAATCAAATCATTCACGAGAGAAATCAAGTCAAAAATTATGAGGGACGCTGGTTTGAAGGGAGTTGTAGTTCTCATTCGAAAATACTCAACCTATTTCTGCTCAGAAACGTGGTAATTAGCTACAATAATTAGCGCCTGTTTCCGGATTGGACAGACTGATCAGAGATCTGTATATAAAGACGAGATGCTCATGTCTCCGCCCTAACAATGGGAGTCGTTGTCCCAAAGGCGGGAACGCAGGTGACAAGCTTAGGCCCCAAATAACCCATACAAACGCATTTTGGACAGATTTTAGTAACAGTGAAACCTCTCGCTTCACCTCTAGGAATTTCCATTAAAAAGCTTAACACATTAATATCATTATTTCATAATGCATTTAATGTTTTTTTTTTTAATTATCGAAACCGAAAAGTAATTATCTTAATAATCGAACCGAAAATTACCTAAAAATGCACCAATCTCTCAGCACTACCGTTTAAGAACCCAACAGCTTTTACGTCACCTTGAAGTGTGTTTTGAATAAACGTCCTCCTGATTGCTCTTTAGAATATATGGTTCCAGAGGGGTTCGACTGACTCCCAGTGAACATATTTGTGCTAGGGAGATAAGGTAACTTCAGGGGTGTATTCATTACGCAGTTTCTGCTGCAAAACGTTTATTCAAAACACACTTCAAGGTGACGTAAAAGCTGTAACATGATTACCCTACATAATTAAAACAAGTGAGTCGGATGTAAATGTGATCAATTGTTACACAATTCTGTGGGGCATTTCAGACTACCTAAATACTGTCAAGTATACGCTGTCGAGTTATAGAACCCATTATTTCAATTAAATACGTGCATATCTACATTTGAGTACAGCAAAAAGTTGTAAGGCTACACTTGCCATAAAAACGGTTAGCCTACACTCATTAATGTTTTGACTAGACAGAAGAGGAATCTGAAGCATGGGTTGCAGAGTTCCGCAAACCTAATTGAGCCTCAAACAATGCAAACTTCCATAGAGTTTCTTGCAACATCGGGCTGAAACATTGTAACCTACTACAATTCCATTGCAACATTTCAGAGCATCTGCTTTCAGCGTTGCTGTCCATCGGAAGCCTTTTTCCCAGTTTTAGTACATTTAGGCTAAGCATGAAGCTGAAAGTAAAACTTACTTGAAAATATGATAACGTCAACACCGACAGCTGCAGAAAATGAACAGACAAACTGTCTCTCCTACTTCCAACAATGACGACTAGTTGAGGAGGCCGATTCCTGCTTACAAAGCATTATTTATAGGACGGGATGACGGCGGAGGGAGGCTGCAATTGGTCTAGAAAGTCGGACCGTGCCTCGTTTGTGTATTAACCCATCTTTTGTGGACTTTGAGTTGTATCAGAACTTGATAGCATGACTTCAAGATAAAATGAACACCGTGTATCCTCAGCAAACCCTTTGTTATACATATCAGCACGCGTTGAGTGCATGATGATGGTGTGTGTGCGTGCCTGCAAATAAATGCAGATAATCTTTATGATAATGTTGCTTTTCAGGTTTCATACTGTCTTAAGTCTTTCCTGTTATTGTGTGAATGTGTGTGTCTGTAGGCTACGTCTGTACATCAAATCAACGTGCATTGGTCGTTTAGCAGATGATATAGCGGGTTCAGTGAAATGCGTATGTTACTAGCTTCTTACAATGCAGTCAAATAAAAATATATATTTAAAAAATACAATCAATCTAGAAATATCAGAACGAATCCAATTAACAACCCAAATAGCACTGTAACAGTAATCCAAATGCATTATATACCACTGGTGGCACTTTAAATGGGGAGGACGGGCTCATAGTAATGGCTGGAATGGAATTTCTGCTGATCCAGTTTCTGCTGTTTTGCCTCTGGCAATGGAACCCTAACCTGTTCACCAGACGTGCTACCTTGTCTTGCTGCTGCTCCAGTTTCAACTGTCTTGCCTGTGGCTATGGAACCCTGACCTGTTCACTGGATGTGCTAGCTTGTCACGGACTTGCTGTTTTCGACCATTTCTCTCTCCCTCCCCCTCTCTCTCGCTCTCTCTACCGCACCTGCTGTCTCGACCTCTGAATGCTCGCTATGAAAAGCCAACTGACAATTACTCCTGAGGTGCTGACCTGTTAAACCCTCTACAACCACTGATTATTATTTGACCCTACTGGTCATCTATGAACGTTTGAACACCTTGAAGAACGATCTGGCCTTAATTGCCATGTACTCTTATAATCTCCACCTGGCACAGCCAGAAGAGGTTCCTGATTTTCTAGGGAGTTTTTCCTAGCCACCGTGCTTGTACATCTGCATTGCTTGCTGTTTGGGGTTTTAGCCTGGGTTTCTGTATAAGCACTTTGTGACATCTGCTGATGTGTTTAATAAAATTTGAATTTGATGGAATAGTCTCAAACCCATCAAACACCTGGTTTCCATGTGTTTGATACCATTCCATTCACTCCATTCCATTCATTATTATGAGCCGTCCTCCCCTCACCAGCCTCTGATCTATAAGTATATACAACAGATGAATTTACACAAGATATACTAAGAAAGATATGTACATCAGTATAGAGCGAATGTCAAGAATTCAGTATATAAATAAATATGTGGTGTGTATAAACAGTGTTAACTAAAATGCAATGTACAGTAGAATGAGCTATGTCGAGAATACAGTATTTAAATACACAGTACAAAACCCCACAGCATCTGAGGCGTCTGTCTGTACGTCTGGGTTTGTCGGTTTTAGAATGGAGTTGTTGTCTAAAATGGATCGGTGTCAAAATTACAGAATCCCCATTATGAAATGAATGTGACTTCTTCCATTGCTATTACATCCCCTGACTCTCAACTAATAAGTAATTTATGTCTCTGCATAGGTCAGCAGTATATGATATATTGCTCTGATAAGGTTCTAGTGGAATCATACTGTACCACTTTATAAGAGTTCAGGAAGACTAAGGTCAACTGATAAGTGTAAAATGTGTGCCAACCAAGTAAGTCATGTTTGAAAACTACTTATTTGGTGGAAATGGAATTGTATTATGTGGTGCATACATTGTAATAATTTACTCGGGACAGATAAATATTATTTTAATGGCGATGGCAGGGACAACCTACAGTGCCTTCAGAAAGTATTCACACCCTGTGACTTTTTCCAGATTTTGTTGTGTTCAACCCCTTTGTTGTGGCAAGTCTAAATAAATTCAGGAGAAATAATGTGCTTAACAAGTCACATAATAAGTTTCATGGACTCACTCTGTGTGCAATAATAATGTTAATAACATGAGTTTTGAATGACTACCTCATCTCTGTACCTCACACATACAATTATCTGTAAGCGCCCTCCGTCGAGCAGTGAATTTCAAAAACAGATTCACCTACAAATACCAGGGAGGTTCTCCAATGCTGAAATCTGACATTGAATATCCCTTTGAGCATGGTGAAGTTATTAACTAAGCTTTGGATGGTTTATCAATACACCCAGTCACTACAAAGATACAGGCGTCCTTCCTAACTCAGTTGCCAGAGAGGAAGGAAACCGCTCAGGGACTTCACCATGAGGCCAATGGTGACTTTAAAACAGTTACAGAGTTTAATGGCTGTGATAGGGGAAAACTGAGGATGGATCAACAACATTGTAGTTACTTCACAATACTAACCTAATTGGCAGAGTGAAAAGAAGGAAGTGTGTACAGAATACAAAATATTCCAAAACATGCATCATGTTTGCAACAAGGCACTAAGGTAATACTGCAAAAAAAATTTGTCAAAGCAATTAACTTTTTGTCCTGAATACAAAGTGTTATGTTTGGGGCAAATCCAATACAACACATTACGGAGTACCACTCTCCATATTTTCAAGCATAGTGGTGACTGCAGCATGTTATGGGTATGCTTGTAGTCGTTAAGGACTGTGGTGTTTTTCAGGATAAAAAATAAACGTAATGGAGCTAAGCACAGGCAAAATACTAGAGGAAAACCTGGTTCAGTCTGCTTTCCACCAGACACTGGGAGATTAATTCACCTTTCAGCAGGACCATAACCTAAAACACAAGGCCAAATCTACACTGGAGTTGCTTACCAAGAAGACAGTAAATGTTCCTGAGTGGCCGAGTTTCAGTTGCGACTTAAATCTGATTGACAATCTATGGCAAGACTTGAAAATGCTTGAATAGCAATGATCAACAACCAATTTCACAGAGCTTGAAGAATTTAAAAAAGAATAATGGGCAAATATTGTACAATCCAGGTGTGCAAAGCGCTAAGAAACTTACCCAGAAAGACTCACAGCTGTAATTGCTGCCAAAAGTGATTCAAACATGTATTGACTCAGGGGTGTGAATGCTTATGTAAATTAGA